TTTTTTGAATTAATTATTTTATTATTATCTTTTATTTTTATTTTATACAGACAATAAATTTAAAATGTTTATAATCTGTTTCCTATTTTCGTTTATTCATTATTTCTTTTTACATTATTTTCACCCACAATTTTTGTGTTTCTTTTCAACTAGATTATATAATATACTAAGAATTATATTTAAATGAGCTCAATTTATAGAATAATATAGAATCAAGAAATAATAGAAAATCAAGATTATTTTTATATCTTGTATAGAAAATATTGCAAAATAAAAAATTCCAAATTTATTCTCATTCAATGTCTCATTCATTCCAAGTTAGTAAACTTTTTTTTGTCACTGATTATGTATATGAAAAATAGTGGTTATTTCATCAATCAATTAGCCTCAAGTGATTGACTGAATGTAAAATTGTCTAAAATCGAGTTATTGTGCTCAAAACGATATCAATTTCTCATCCCGAGAGATGAATCACTTGTCCTGGCTAAACAAAAATGTGGCCAGATGTTGGATACATTAGAGCAGAGGGCAAGGCCAGATTCCAGCTGTGAGTGTGTGTCTGCTACATCATATGTCTTGGGTATTTGCCGCATTTCGTATTGCGTATTTGCTGTCATTATCACGAGCATTTGCCCCTAGACACACATCATTAGGTGCACCATTAGGTGGGCAGCCCCTCACCGGCCCCAAGTGGGTGCCGCACGCTGCCTTTGTCGGCGTCAAGTGAGCCCCACGCGTGCAGCGACCCTTTTAACAAATTAGTGCGCAGTGCTGGGGAAAATTTGTTCACATTGCAGGCGTAGGGTGTCCGTGCGTCATAAATCATCGGGGCCAAAGAGTGTGCCACACGCTGCGCTTCGTGTTAATTAAATATTGACTATGTTTTGATAAGCCGTAGCATTGCCGCATTTAATTTTCCCCGAGAGGGAAACGAAGAGAAACAAGTAAATGAAATAAAATAAAATTTAAATGTTGCACGCGGCAGGATGCGCCACTCGGCGGCCGGATAATGAAAGCGTTTCCAAATGCGAAACGAATGCTGGGCCAGCTACTGTGGCGAGTGTGCGCGTTGGCCAGGATGCAGCCGCATGTGGTCCGCTGTGGAGGCACGTGTGGTTTTCCAGTTAACCGCGCTCCGCTCGCCACTGAGCCGCTTCCTGCTGCTGCCCGTTGCCGTCCGTTGCTGTCCGTTGCTGCGTTTGGTATTAAAACTAAACTGTTTCCACCTACCCGCAAAAAGGACGACAACTGGCGCAGTTTGACTTCTGCAAATACACAGACTGAGAGCATCTACCTCTCGCCCGTTGGCCAAATCGGCTGCAGCGTCTGCGCTGCGTGCTGCGTGCTGCGTTTTTGGCCACCACCCGCGGCTTTTGTTGGCTTAGACGCAGCCCTCAATCTGAGCGCTTCGGCGACTCCCTCTCATTGCCTACACCGCCCACCCACTCTCAGCCGGACTCAGCTCTTATCAATCGCGGCCATCAGAGCGGGCATTGTTGCTGCTGCGGCTGCTGTTGCTGCTGCTGCTGCTGCTGATTCAACACTTCGGTAGCGCAATCTTCATTTCCGCCTTTGGCCTGGCTGCACATTTCTCTTGGCCAAGTGATTCATGCGCCAGTTTGGCCAACTGCTTGCTGCAGCCACATCATAAAAACGTTAAATAGTCGTCAAGAGTCTTGCTCTTAGTTGCTTTACTAACTCTGATTTCAGTCATCCCCGTGCGACTTTCTAAGCAGCGGCCTTCGCTTAAATCTCATCGGTTTGCGGCCGTGCAACGACAATATTTGGCCACAGGTTAACAGGTTTCAATTGCCCATCCTCAAGGTGCGACGGCGTCTCAGAGACTGCGACGGCGACGACGACGTCGACGACGACTCACACCTGAAGCGACGTCGTCTAACACTCATTAGATGTCATTTGCTGATAAACGCTTTCGAATACCCTAACCCAAAAACGGGTAGCTTCATTGGTTAAA